ATATATATATTATTTTTTATTTTTTTTGGTGGAACTGGGGATTGAACTCAGGCCCTTGCGCTTGCCAGGGAAGTGAATATAAATAATATTAAAAAGCCACAATAATAAACATAGCATGTTACTGGTGAGAAGCCAGACCTAATGGACAATGAGTATGAATATAGAATCCAGAAACATCTAGAATGCTCAGCCTTTTTGTCTTTGACCAAGGCTCCAAAAACATACGCTGGAGGACATAGAGCAACGATGCTAGGCAAATTGCTCTATGCAGAAGGCTGAGTCTAAACTTACATCTCATATCATGTGCTAAACTGACGTGAATGAAGCAAAGATCTAAATGCTAAGATGGAAAAATTTGAAATCTGCTGGCAGTCAGTATAGGTAAAACTCTCGAAGACAGAGGTACAGGCAAAGGCTTTCTGAACAGCACTGCAGTTGCACTTGAAACAACGTCAAGAACCAACACCTTGGATTATAGCACATTAAAAGGCTCTGCATATCAAAGGAAACAGTCAACAGAATGAACAGTGAACTTCAAAATGGGGACATTGTTTGGACAGCTACCCTTCTGACAACAGAGTTATATCTAGTGTGTATAAAGAACTCGTTACAAGTAGAACCACAAAATAAAAGGCCGCCTCAGAAAATGAACAACTGAAATGAATAGACTCTTCTCAGAAGAAGAAATATGAATTCTCTCCCTCTCTCTCGCTCTCTCTATCCCTATCTCTATCTTTATTATGTTTCATCTCTATCTTCCTATCTATCTATCTATCTATCTATCTATCTATCTGAGTAAATGTTTAACATTTCTAGCCATTAAAAAACTACAAACAAGGGCTGGTGAGATAGCTCAGCAGACTAAGCATCTGGTTAGGCAAGTGAAGGGACCAGGGTTTGATCCCTGGCACCACATGCCATGCCAGCCCCATCCCTGGGCATGCCTGAGACAAGGCAGAGTGGTGCATGCCTGTAATCCCAGTGCTGAGGAGACTAAAAACAGGAGGATCACTGTGAGTCTAAGTGAGGCCCTGTACCAAATACATATTAAAAAGCAAGAAAAAAAAAAAGAAAAATACAAAATAAAACAACACTGAGATCCCATCCTACTTTAGATAGAATGACTATCATTTAAAAAAAATCAAATAACCACACATGCTGGAAAGGGGGAAGGTACTTGTACAACTGTTATGGAAGTATAGATTCCTCAAAAAATTAAAAATATTCAATTCCTAGCTCACAGTGCCAGCCTCACCCCCAGAGTGTGCTGAGATGGCAACTGAGACTGGGTATGGTGGTGCACGCCTATAATCCCAGCGCTTGGGAGGCTGAAAACAGGAGGATCACTGTGGGTCCAATCTGTGTCATGAGACCCACTAGACCCTGCACTAAACACATTTAAAAAATTAAAAGCTGAACTTCTGTTTCAACCAACTATCCCTTCCTAGGCATACACATGTGGTAGCAATAAAAATCATAATAGCTACATCTTGGAACTGACCTCTGTTTCCTTCAAAAGACGAAGGGACAGAGCACACGTGGCACTGATGCACAACTGATCACCCCTCAGCCACAGTGTGAAAAATTTGAGCCATTTGTAGGAAAATTGACATTTTCTGTGCAACAAGAAGGAAAATAAAAAAACAAAACAAAACAAAACAAAACAAACAAACAAAAAAAAGATAGAGATGTTAAGGTTTTATTCTTGCCAAGGAGGGCACTATGGATGTGTGATGTAGTAAGTGTTAAAGAAATAAAGAATGGGGAGAAAAAAAAAAGAGAAGGAAAATCACAGGTACACAATCTTAAATACCATGAAGCTTCCTTATATGAGAAGCCCAAAGCATAATTAAGGAAAACAAGACACAATAATATATTTATTTATTTATTTTGGTGGACTGGGGGATTGAACTCAGGCCCTTGCGCTTAGCCAGGCAAGCGCTTATTCTACTGAGTCATCTCTCCGGCCCGGCACAACAATATAAAAGACCAGCAAAAGGAACCATGGAGAAAGATCTTTTGCAAGTGAAAAGGGAATACAGAGATGGAGGGAAGGGAAAAGAAGGAAAGGGGAGGGGGATAAAATATTAGGTTAATCAGGGTTACCTACTCCTTAATAGGAAGCTGAACACTGTGTCTTGCAACTATGTTCTCATAAAATATTAAATGGGTGCGGAGGGAATTGTCAGAAGTATGTCTAGTTTTTTGGCATCAGCAGGAGCATTCAGTCTCAGTGTTGGGGAAAGAGATCAAACTTGACTTGTTAGGGAAGGCAGGCAGCTGCAGGCTTCTTGCAGATCCAGGATTTCTCTAGTTCACAGTGGTGATCATTCCAGCCCAAAGGAGTAACTTCTGCGCAGTCTTCATTCATGTAATCATTGGGCTCCCCTGACATCCAGAACTTCAAACTGGAAGATCCAAAAGAATACAGCAATTTACTTTAGCCTTCTATATATCGGGCTGAAAATTTGTGAAAACTTGATGCTATCCCACTGCTCCTCTGTGATAGACGTCCCCAGTTGGGGATACTCAATGGTATGCTTGGTCATGTGACACTGACATAGACCCGCATCTCCCATGAGGAGAGGGGTCCTTTTCTTGAGGCCAGGCTTTCACATACAAATCTATATCCTTCTAGACTCCACATCTCTGATCATTTCCCTTATTGTTATTTTGTGCTTATTCTCTGAGTCAAGGGGCTCCTGTCTCTGGCCAAGTACCAGATAGTTTGAGACAGAACCCTCACCCTTGGAAGTCCCTGACTTCACAATCTCACCAATCTGAAGGCTACTTATGCTGCCACATCCATTCCTCCAAATAGACAGCAAAATGAATGGTATTCTGCACATGTTCACCACCTTCTACTTCCTTTGCAACCTTGTTTATTCCCCACGTGGCCTCCCTGGGGTATGATGTGTATTTTCTCTTTGGATATCTGGGTGTAACAAGCTATGTTTTCAATAGCAATTTCCCCTGGACTTGTTGGTCTCACTATTTCTCAAACTTTGGTTTGGAAGAAACTATATTTACAATTACTGCTCTGGCTCCAAGCGTCTCCTGCAGTTATGACGGCGGAATTTTAGGCAACTGCCATGCAATTAGCTCATAGGTGTGAAGACCACCTTCTTCCACTCAGTAAACATTGCAGTCTCTTACCCTTGATGTTCACAGTTGGGGGAAGAACCTCAAGTGGAACCCAAATGCGCTATCAGAACCCCATTGCAATCTAGGGCATACCTGTCAGGCAGAAGTGAGTCATTCACCCATTTCCACGTGCCTTCAGCACCTAGATCTGAAAGACCTATCCAGGCAAGTTTTTTTCCCCTTAAATTCTCCTGAAGGAAACTCTAGAGGGCAGAGAAGGAGATTAAGAAAGGAGCTATAGGCCACACTTCCAACTTGTGTCTCCCCAGTCTCTCACAAAGAAGTGCTGACCTTGGGCTTGTAGCGTACCAGCCCTTGAGCATCCATGTCTTCAGGACGCTTCCTGAAGACTCAGAGCTTCATGTGCACGCACACCTGGTGTCTCATCACACACAGAGGGCACTACCTGCTTACCGATCTATTGGGTACTATGCACATACACCTGAGATTATTGGGCTTTTGCTGGAGCCAACTAATATTAGCTCACGATTTCTCCTTAAGGGCATCAGCTCTTTTCAGTTCTGAATTAAGTGACATGCCATGGGTAGGTTGAGATCAGCCATTTGGGATATATTTACACCAAGGATATTGGGAAAAGGCATGTATCAGAACTTACTTTCTGCCCGCAAAAGTTGAAAGACTCTGGTATCCAGGACAACTGGGGTCACTTAGATGTTTGGCATTCTCACAGCATATATGAACCGTGTATTTCATTGCAAGAAGCTTGTGACCCCACATATACACTTTCTCTATCTCTTCCATATGGATAAATAGCCCCCATTCAGCAACCCTTGCCTGCAGTCTTTTCCTCACCACCAGGAGCAAGATGTCCACCCCAAGCAGTCAGCACCCCAGATACCTCCTCCTCAGCACTTGTGATGATCACCAGACTCGCCTCCATTTCTTCACATGCATCAAAGGAGCCGTGCCAGTTCCGCTTGGTCATGGAGAACAAGTAGCAGTTTCCGCTGAAAAATCTCCAGTCCCAGGGACAGGGGTTGCACAGGCGGGCTATGGGAAGAACAGGGTCAGGGTGGACCCACCCTCGATGCCCATGTGTTTAGGTCAGTGCAGCCTTCAACAACTAGGCCATGCCACTGCACTTTGAGGGAGCCACTCCCCTCTGTCTCTTCTCCAGCCCCCTACCCTTCAACAGAACCCAGGAGTCCTGATCCCATCTCCTCAAATAGAAATTTTGGAGCTCTGGACCTCAGATTAAGGACCAGGAGACTGCTTTAATTGAGGGCCTACTGTACTCATATCCTTGGATATCAAGTGCTGCTCCCTGGAACTAAGTGTTCCTGTGTCAGAGAGGAGGAAACAGGGTCGGCAAGGGCAGCTGCCCAGTGCAGCCTGACATCACAGAGCTGATGCCCCTTGCACTCACCGGCTCTAGAATTCAGCTGTGTCAGTTTCTTGTAAATCATGTTCTCCTCTTGGAAACTGAGGGCCTTGGGACCTGTTCCAAGAAAAGAAGAGGCCACTGTTATCACAGGGGCAGTGTATTCCAAGGTCTGGACAGAGATCACGGGGTCCTCTGCCTTGCAAGCCAAGGCGATGTTTGGTCCCATTCTATGAGAAGGAAATCCGACTCCTGTAGAAAGTCGAACGGCAGGACAGCTGTGCCAGGACCATCTCCTGCACCTCCTCCCTCCTCTGTCACCAAATGTCAGCATGACCTTGAGAAGTTCGTAGAAGTCTTTGATTCCTGCTTCAACTTCACCTCACCCCGCCAGGCCTGGTTACTCCAGTTGACAGGTTGTAGTAGGTATCCCCAAGCCTCAACCTGCTCTGACCTTGGACCAAGAATGCTAGCAGTGTCATGCTGAAGAGGATTAGGAAGAGCAGCTGCAGCACCACGAGGACCTGAAAATGGCTCAGACACCCTAAAGGACAGAAACATAGGGCTGTTACAGTGCACTAAAGACACTTTCTCAACCTGGTCTTGGGAGAGAGCCTGCCCACAACTTTGTCCTTCTCGGGGAGCAGGAGCTCAGCTTCTAGCTGCAGTTCTGTAGACCCAAGAGTCCAATTCTTTTTACTCCTGGCTGAGACTTCCCCTCCTGGATGCAGGATTCCCAAGTGACACCCTCTGTGTTTTAGACTCAGGAGTTTGCAGTCACCATCAGAGCCCCCAGGATCCCATGAACATGAGCACAGGGGTCCACGCCTCTTTAGCTCCTCTCCCTGCTCTACATGCAGTCATGGGATCAGAAGGGTGGGTGGAATCCAGGGCCCTTGAAGGAATGTTGGGGGCTGCTGGTGTTCAGCTTCTACTCTGCACGGGCGGAGCCCGTGTGAGACTCAGAGGCCCATGCTGTGAGCTGTCCTACAGAAGCTCCTGGAGTCCCTGCCAGGTCTCACCCAGGGTGCCCCGCTGCTGTGCCGCCAGCTCCGTGGAGTCCCTCATCCTCAGCTCTGTGTGCGGGTCAATGCTGGGGACTGCTGGGGACCACAGCTGTGTTTATCAGTCAGCCTCTGTGCCTCTTTGTCTAATCTTACTTCAGTGCAGGAAGAGAAACTAGGAAGTGGGCACCAGTCATTGAGGAGGTTAAAAAGAGGGTTGAGCATTTGACAGCGCACGGTGGTCATGTGCTGGACATTCAAGAAATGTCAGGGCCATCTTCTTCCTGCTTGGGGGCTGCGGCAGAGAGAAATGTCATCATCAAACTGCGAAACAAGTGCCTTGTAAAATAGATCTACTTTATCTTGTATGCTTTACCTGCAGCAGTAGCCACCAAGAACACCACCCCAGTCTTTGTTGCTGTGGTGTGTTCAGGTCTTCATCTACGATATTTCCCACCTAGTAGAAGCTGGGGCTAAATTTATCAACCTATTTTTAATGCTTACTGCAAGCAGGTGATTTTCTGATTAAAATACTCTGACGTGCTCTTGCCTTTAGTGTTCTCTCACAGTCATAGATGATCTGCAGGTCATTTTGGAGTTTTTTTTTTTTTTTCAATTTCCGTTTGGAAGCAGACACTTTATTAACTGACCAAATCATAAAAACCCTGTGGTAGATACCTTAGTTCATCCTTCTAATAAGCCTGCTGATCTGGTCCTCCCTATTCCCTGCATCTCCACCTTCCACAAATGGGTGGTCTTTTTCTTCATTCCACCTTGAGGAGATGATAATGTGAATGGCCACAGGACGTTATTTGCCTCTTCGAAGTGTTTTCCAACAGTAGAGATCTCATGAATCAGATCCTCCAGGCAGATGATGCCATATTTACCAAGAGATCGAGCAATCAATGAATTATGTATCAAGGCAATTTGCTTCTTATTGATTTTGCCAAAGTCATGCTTGTATATTAGTTCACTCACTGACTTCAGGTTAGGGTACCCCATGCAATGTATGGCTGCACAATTCTAAGCATGTTGATTTAAGCCTTGTTGAGCTTAACAAAAGTATCATTGAAGATTTGGTGAAGGCGAAGAAGCTGCAACACCTGGCGGACCTTTGGGCTCACACCCGATACCCCTGATCTGGATGACAAGTGCCAGTTTGGGTTCTGCAGGGACATAGAAGTTGCCAGCTTTTCTCACCATCTTAGCCATTCAGATCTCAGTTCTGTACATCTGTCTGTACTCCTTGTGACAGTGCCTGGCTTTTTCATAGATGAGCTTCCTTCTCACTTTGTGAAGCATCTTGTGGGCAAACTTCTTTCTCAGGCACTTTATTTTCAACTCTGCGATATGTCTTTGCTTTTTCTTAAGGGTTTCTGGCACAGCAGGAACCTTGCTTTTCTTCTCTTCTACTCCCTCCATGGTTCCAGCCTCATTTTAGAGTTTCAGAAATCCAAACACAGAAAGATTTCATTACTGCCCCAAGCTGATACAGCTGGAAAATAGCAAAGTAGGGATTTCAACCCAGAGAGATTGCCACCACAGGGAACCATGCTGACCACTGAAATTGGCCAGTGGTTTGAGAGCCTGTTTTTTGGGGCAAGGACAATGATTAATCTTGAAAGCTGTCAAAGCAATGGCAATGGAAGGCATTACATACCTAAACTCTTTCTTAGGCAATGCAGTACAAACTACATGAGACCTATGGGGATGCATGTAAATTAGCATAGTTGAGTTCAGTTGGAAATGCCAGCACAGCTGCATATTCAGTATGGCTTGTTTTTCTAACATACTAACTGCTGCTATCTGTAGGCCAGCAGATTGTACAAGCTTTATAAATCTAAAGATAAGAGAGTCATCCTGTTTAGTTTGCTAGAATAGCTACTGTTGTAGGTAATTATTGGGAAAGAAAAATGTGTTTCACTGGACATCAGGGGAAGGTGGCACAAGGCTATTTTTCCCAATGGATCCTGGGTTATAGGGAAAGTAGTTTCTCCCACAAGACCTAGGAAGATGATGCTTACTGAAGAACAGTTTCAATGACTTAGGAGGTTATCTTTAGTCAAGGTAGAGTGCTAAAAAAGTGTAGTTGATCAGTGTGGCTTCAAAGGTTGGCACATGTTTTACACATATCAACTAATAGCCAATGAGTCTAGAGGAATTCTTTAGGTATTTTTCTTGCTGACATACAGTGCATACTGTGAATCAAGGAGAATCATGTGCTCTCCACAGAGATACCAAAGTTCCTTGGATGCTTTGTTCAGAATTGTTCCACACTGAAACTACCCCCAATTGATTTTCTATAGGTAAGTGAAATAAAGAAATGTATTCACAGGTCTGGGGAGATAGCTTGGCAGTCTAAGCACCTGTCTAGCAAGTGCAAGGACCAGGATTCAGTCCCTGCTACCACATGCCATGCTGGCTACCAAAACCATGCATGGTGGTACATACCTATAATCCCAGCACTGAGGAGGCTGAGACAGGAGGATCACTATGAGTCCTAGCTGTGTAGTGAGACCCGCACAAAATAAATAGAAGATTTAAAACATTTAAAGAAGAAATATATTCACAGATTATAACTGTACCTAACAAGAAATCAAAGCACTGATGTAGGAAATAAAATGTATAAATCTTCAAAAGCAAGAGAAACCCAAACATTCAGTGTGTATATGGCAAGATTCTCCTTTATCTGAGTTGGATGAAGGCTAGAGTTAATCTTAAAATGAGAATCTGAAAGGGGATGCAGTGGGTGGAGTGAGGAGGGAGGAAGGGATATCTTCAGTGCCCCAGAAATTATCAGCGAGGAGGCTGTATGAGGTCTTCCTAGATGGTGATGATGAAGTGCCTTAATTTTTTTTCAGATTACATGCATGTTCTAGGCTGAAGTCCTTTGTCAGAGGGACAGGTGACTAAATTTTTTTCCCACTCTGTTTGTTCTCTTTTCACAATGTTGATGATTTCTTTTGATGTGTAAAAGCTTTGTAACAGAATGAGATCGCAGTTGTGGACTCTGAATACTTCCAGGGTAGACTGGTTTTTGTTCTTGAAATCTCAGCCTTCAATTTTTCTACCTGGTTTCTCTTCTAGTAGATTGAGTGCTTTTGTTTTAATATTGAAAACTTTATTTTTGTCAGTACCATACTGATTTTAGCACAGTGGCTTTGTAGTGTAATTTTAAATCAGGGAAGTGATGCCTCCGCCTTTGCTTTGTTGTCTAGGCTTTGTTTTTTCTATGCTAGGTCTCTTGTTGTTCTGAATGAATGTCAACAATGTCTTCTCAGGTTCTGTGAGGTATGCTGATGACATTTTGATCCACATTACATTAAATCTGTCTAACAGCTTTGGGACTAGGGACATTTTCACAAATGCTGATTCTTCCTGTCTAGGAGCAAGGAATGTCTTTCCATTTCCTCTTTGATCTCCTTTTTCAGAATACTGTAATTCTTATCATATAGATCTATTATTTCCTTTATTTGATTTATTACTTTTCATTTCCTTTTTTGAATACTATTGTGAAGTGTTTTTTTCTGTTATTTCTCTCTCAGTGAGTTTGTCGTTTTGGTACAGAAATGCTATTGATTTTTTTAAAATAATTTTATTGAGAAACAAATAGCAATGAGACAGTTTCAAAACCGATTAGTAGGACAGGTACTTCATCATCACCATCTAGGAAGACCTCATAGAGCCTCCTCGCTGATAATTTCTGGGGCGCTGATTGAATTAAGAGAAAGTAGCTTTATATCTATACTAACTATTTTGAATACACAGATACAAGTGGTCATTCATCTGTATCCCCTTTTCTTGTTTGGTTTTGTTAGAGAAGGGTATTCCATTGTCATTTAAATGTTGTAGGTGCGTGAATTCATCAAAATATCCCAGTATAGTTCAGTAGTCCATAATAGCAGTGGGTTTTTGGAGGACTGGCAATGTTAGAAATTGTTGACTTGAGCCTTTTACAGCTCAGCATATTAATATGGCTTTACTTTTCATACTTCATTTTTATACTTTTCTGCTGGTTGGTTAAGACCAAGATAAAGCAAGACCATTATATATATAACTGACTTTTGAATCTGCCAAGGTCAGTCAAATCCCCTCAGGATCCTAAATTTTCTAATCAAGGAGATTATGGGGCCACAGAGGAAGGTGATCAATGTTGCAGAGTGTGCCTAAGGAGAGTCACATGGAGAGAAAAATTCTCTCAGGCTTTCACAGAGAGCAAACTGGTCAAGCAGTGTCCGTGACTCATCCACATGGCTGACACTTACAAAGGATCTACAAACTGTGGTAAAGGGTTTCAGGATAAATACTGAGGATTTGACTGGCCTTGTCAGACACAAAAGTTACATTTCTTGTTATATAGACCTTGCTTTAATTTGGTCTTAACCATCCAGCAGAAAAGTATAAAAATGAAGTATAAAAAGTAAAGCCATATTAATATGCTGAGCTATAGAAGGTATAGAAGGCTCAAGTCAACAACTTCTGACATTGCCAGTCTTATGGAAAACCCACTATTATTATGGAATACTGGACTATATTGGGATATTTTGCTGAATTCACACATCTACAATATTTAAATGACAATGGAATACCCTTCTCTGACAAAACCAAACAAAAAAAGGGGATACAGATGAACGACCATTTTGTATCTGTATATTCAAAATAGTTAAGATAGATATACAGCCACCTTCTCTTAATTCAATGAATAGAAAGATCTGTTCTAATAGTGTTTGTGGGCAGGATATCATGTCTGCTTCTTGTACAATGAATAACCACTAAGAAGACAATAATATGCAATGTATTAATTTTTGAAACTTTCCTACTAATCGGTTTTGAAACTGTCTCATTGCTATTTGTTTCTCAATAAAACTATTTAAAAAAACAAAGAGAAAAGTGAGCAAGCAGAAAGTGGAGGCTATTTCCAAAAAAAGACCGTGTTTTCCGGATACAGAGCATGCATTAGTGATGCATGCCTGGTGGACGGGGACTTACGAACTCCACAGTAGTTTCCCGCTCCTCGAGATCTTGCTCTCTGTCAGGCCGACCACAGTTCTGTGAAGGACTCCAGATCTTCTGCATTCTAGAAATCTCAAAAG